CCGCCTCACACCGAGTTCAGAGGAGACAGATGACATTCGAGTCCTGTGAAGTGCATCTGACTTGGTGGAATAACGGTTATGAAAGAGACATAACTGCCCCTCAGGTGTCACAGGAAGGTCTTTCTGAGTAATACAAGCCGTCGTATTATGTAATGAACTGTATGTGAAGTCTGCTTTAAAAAAAAATGTGACTGAAAGTTTGAAAAGTTTTTTTTTTTTTGACATAAAGTCAGTTTTGCGTTTTGTGTTCGCTTGCGTTATTACATTATTCTGACCTAGTCATCGGTGTAAACGCTGCTGTCACCCTCCGTTCATCAGTTTGATTTCGCTGCTGGTTTTGTTACAGTAACCTTTTGTGTTTTTCTTGTTTCGCTAAAAAAATTCAAAGCTCTTTCCCTCCCCATTTAGGCTGGTGTAAAGGGCAAGCTAGGACGCCTACTTGGTGTATTTGAAGTGAGTTTTTCACATGTCCATAACTGTTCTACTAAAAAAAAGAGGTTTTAAATGAGCAAAAACAAATAATTTGCACCTTTCTTTGAATTAAATAACATTATCATCTGTCTCTAAAATGTATTTTTTAAATTATGTCATAACTCTTTGTAGTTTTTGTCTTTAAAATCCTCCGTTTTTGATTCTTAAAGCAAAACCAGGATCGGAAGAACCGTACGTACGTGTATGTGCTGACTGTCACGGAGACATTCGAGGCCTGGGAGGATTCAGTCAACATAGGTACAGCTCATGAATATTTGCAGCCACATGTGTCTAAACTTACTCTGCTGAGCAAGATATACTGGTTTTATTTATTTAATTTATGCGGGGGGCCCATGTGCTGCTTGGAAACTATACCAGCATGCAGCGTCAACAGCTGACCGTAAATCTGGGGCACTGATCCCTGCTGTCGTATATTGCAACTGTCAGTGTGGACGCCAAGTGATGAAGTCGTTATTCTGTTAAGATGTGCTGAGTGGAAATCACTTTTTATTTACAGCCCCAACTTGGACAAAGCTGTCAAATAAAAGCAGAATAAAATTATGAATCCATATTTTATTCACAGTGGAACATGGTAAACATGTCAGAATAAGGTGATTTTAAATTTTTACGGCAGCAACAAATCTCAAAATGCTGCAAGTGGCACAAAAAAGAAACAGCCAGAGGAGGATTTTGTAACTCATTTGGTAAAAGTTGTAAATAAAGCCCTCTGTGTGTCCTCTGTCGCCCCCTGCAGGCCGTAAGCGGGAGTGGTTCACCGTGGACGAAGCCATCAAAGTTCTGCAGAGCCACAAACCCGTTCACGCCGAGTATTTGAGGAGGCTCCAGCTCAGCTGCTCCCCCACCAACGGGAACTCCATCCTCCCGAGCCCGCCTCCAAACGACAACTACCCCCATTACAGCACCTCTGCGCCGTCGACGGGCAGCGTGCTGACCTCCTCCTGCAGATAGGACTGCACCTCGTCCTCCCATTTTTTCTTCTTCTCTCGAACAGTGCACCGAGAGTCTGTACAGCCTCCTGCATGAATCTAACGACTTCTCCGAGCCGTGGCTCGCTTGTATTTAAAATTTTCCTATCATAACTGCAAGACTTGACCAAAGCCAGCGCTAGAATGGGGATAAAGACTGAGCAGAAAAGGCTCACATCTGGATGTGGCTAATTCATGGAACACCGGGATGCTGAGTGTGAGAGGACAAAGCTGCAGCCTCTGCTGGTGTGAACGACCTACAGCGAAGGAATGCCTTACAGAAACTTTGTGTGAATGTTATATTTGGGTTGTTTTTGGTCACTTTAACATCGTTGCGTGGCCTCCCAGAGAGCACATCAGTGCGTTGAATGTCTCCAGATGTTGTGATGGTAACCGTCAAAACATTACACGTGGTTATTTATTTGACAGAAAACTGAAAATCGATTTAGTTCTTGTTTAACATTCGACAAAGAAGTTCATTCGCTGCTTTTTAACATGCTAAGGCGACATCAAGAATAATGTACGAAGTTGGCAAAACGTTTGCCCCAAAATACAAGTTTTAAACTTTCTACCTCAGTAAACTGGATACGATTGTCCTGTTTTGTGACTTCCTCTGACGCAGCTCTGCTGTTTGCAACTTGAGCGCTGCAGCGCTACGTGTCCACACACTTTTCTTTTTATCTCGTCGGAGGTATCAGATCACAATGAGTGCAGCCGTGCTTCTGATAGTCTACGGAGCTCTGAGCTTCGAATCGTCTAAAAAAACGAAAGGTAAAAAAGTAAAATCATGATTGTTTCCTTTAAACTGCTGTGATTTGTATCAGACCTCAGCGCTTCAAAGTAACTAAAGCTAATTGATATATATTGATTATTTTGTTTATGATGTATTGAATATTTGAAGAATAAGAGTTGCAAAGGTTCAGAGAATAATATGTAAATTTTTCCAGCCAACTCTTGTAAATTAATAGACGAAAATTGTACAAACAATAATAATAATGCAAAAAAACCTGCTATATTTCTCATTTAAAATTGCTTTCTCGTGCTAAAACGCTCCCTTTTGCTTCGACAACTTGAATGACAAACGGTAAGCCACGCTGCGGTTTGTAAATAACTTTTATTAAGAGGCTTTGTTAAAAAAACAAAACATTTTTAACCTGAACGCACCTGTTTATTTCCTCTTGATATTTTCTATATTTCTTAAAAGATGCACACGCAGCTGACAACAAACGTGTACAGCGTTAGACGTTTGGATCGCGTTTGATGATGTGCCACAAGTTTGGGATGTTTTGTGGATGAAAAGTATCTTAAAGTAAAAACAAGAATGTTCGTAGAACAACTTGAGCTGCGTCTCAGAATAACCTGTAATCAGATTACCGTACATTATGCCGTATAAGTCGCATCAGTCCAAAAATGTATAATAAAGTGGAAAAACATAAATAAGTCGCATCTTTTATGCGTCACCGCTGGCTGCCTGGAAACGTGGGCCGGTGTTGTGCCAAAAATCGATTGGCTGCCAAATGGCGGGAGCGTGCACGGGAGGATTAAACAATTGTTTGTTTGCTCGACATTATAGCAGAGGTCTGTCTCAGTTAAATGTACTTTAACGGTCAAATCAGCTGCATTTCGGCTGGGCAATGAGGCGAAATGCAGCTGATTTGACGTTTGCTCCTGGGTTCCTGAGCAAGATGAAAGTGCTTTGTATGGCAAGCCAAGTGTCTCACTAATACCCACTTTTACCTATTAATGAGACACTTGCAGATTTATGCAAAAAGGTGTGACTTGTACGGCAAAAAATACGGTATTTAAAATGCACAGAATTAGAAAATAACTGGAATATTAAATGAGAAATTGACTTATTTTTAAGAAATGGCTTAAAATGTTGAGTGAAACCATAAAGATAAATAAGGAAATTGTTTAATTGTAATATTTTTGGGGAGAAAAGGTTTTAAATAAAATCCTAAAGATTAAATCAGTTATTTTGTAAGATTTTAAGCTGTTGGAGTTGGTCTTAAACCATGGCAGCCTAAATAATTTTAAAGATAACCACCTTTTTTTTTAATTTTACAATTCATGTTTACTGCTCTGTTACAAAATATAAACTCCGACACATCAGTTCATCCGCCATAAAGTTTTAGCCTCGGCTCTGTGGTTTTTTTTTTTTTACAAGTTTATAACTTCAAAACAAAATGTGCCAAATTACAAACTTTGTGTTCAAGTGGGGGATAAAACTAGAAGGGAATTATCTGAAACATATCTCAACTTGAAGTTGGAATATAATATAATTTAATTTTAAAATGAACATCAACTTCCACCTTTCAGCTCTTCGTGTTTTTACTCGAGAGTGTTGGACAACTGCTGCTTGAATAACTTCATCCACTTGAAGTCTCGTTGAATGTTTGTGTCCACGTTGATTTTCAGCCGATGTTATTCTAAAACTGTTTTTATTCAATGCAAATGTCAAAGTTTGATATGATTTGAGGCAAAAATACATTTTGTGTGGAAGTGATGCGAACCGGAAAGATTGTTTCTGTGGAGATTGCATTAAAGAGGAAACATCTTACTGTAACATTTGTTGAGTGTTCATTTAAAGGCGACTCGCTTCCTGGCAGCTGTTTCAGTTTGTTTAGGACGTTCCCAAACTTTTTCTAATTTCTATTAAAATAATCACCGTGCAAATTCCTACAGCTCCAAGGTTTGTTTGGAATGTTTTTGCTTTTTTGTCCTCGGAACAAAACAAATTGATTTGACAAGCTGTTTGATTCTTTTAGCTGTTTTGCTTGTAGCTACTAGCTAGGCTTTTCATATTTTAGCTAGCATTTTGTCTCTTAACTTTTAACTACACCTTTACATCTTTAGCTAGTTTTTGCAGCTGTTAACTAGTGCCTAGCTACTTTTAGATTTATCTAGTCTTGATATTTGATTTGGCCTTTTATTAAGTTTAATCTTTTTCCTACACTTAGCTTACCTACTTTTAGCTTTGCGCTAGTGTTTTGATACTTTTAGCTGGCTTTTAGCTTCATATTCTAGCTAGCATTTTGCTACTTTTAAGTAGCATTTTGTCTCAGCTTTTGACTAACCTTTTGAATCTTTAGCTACATATTGCAGCTGTTAGCTAGTGTCTGGCTACTTTTAGCTAATCCACTATAGGCTTTAGGTTAGCCTTTTAATATTTTAGCTAGTGTTTTGATGCTTTTAGCTGGTTTACTTTTACCTTCTGGCTAGTCTTCATATTTTAGCTAGCCTTTTGCTACTTTTAAGTAGCAATTTATCTTAGCTTTTGACTAACTTTGAATTTTTAGCTAGATTTTACTGCTGTTAGCTAGTGTTTGGCTACTTTTAGCTAATCCACTATACACTTTAGGTTAGCCTTTTAATATTTTAGCTAGTGTTTTGCTACTTTTAGCATACCCAGTCTTACATTTTTTTGCTCACCATTTTAGATTTAGCCTTTAGCTATTTTTTTTAGCTCCCCTGCTTTTAACTTGTAGCTAGCCTTCTTATATTTACCTAGCATTTGCTACCTTTAGCTAGCCCACTTTTAGCTTTATTCTAGGCTTTTGATATTTTAGCTGGCCTTTTTTATGTTAGTTTATTTTCTACTCTAGCTTACCTACTTTCAGCTTTGAGCTAGTGTTTTGATACTTTTAGCTGTTTTTTTTATGTTAGTTTTACTTTAGCCTTTTAACTTTCATTGTGTTCCTCTAGCATTTAGCTGGCGTTGTGCTTTAGACATAAAATTATAATTATTGGAGCGACACCTGACTCCTCAGGTGTTTCTTTAGCTCCGCCCCCATCACCTCAGGTGGCCCCGCCTGAGTGGGACAACAAAGCGAGCGGAGCTGAGCTCAGGAGCGGCAATTATCCACCGGGTTTTGTAGTAGTTCACGATGGAGGAGAGGTTCTTTAAGTCGCCTCTGCCTGCGCTGGACTTGGTGCTGAACGACTCCAGTCTGGCTCTGCCGACCGAGCCCAGTCCGAGGTCCTCGACCAGAACCGAGTCTGAAGACCGGAGCCTCCGTGTTCAGCGGCAGGTCCGGCTCACCCTGGAGCGGAAGACAAAGAGGAATCTCTCTAATGGTAACTTTCACTTGTAATAATAGTCCTCCGACAAAATATATTTACCATTGACCCTTTAACAGTTACTAATGCGCATGCGTAAAGTCACAACGTCTGTGCAGACAACCTCGTGTTCTATATGGAGATAAACACAGAGCTTTCTCCCACTGACATTTATTAGAAGATGTTTCAGCTCAGACTACCAGACTCAGCCCTGCTGTATCTGTGCTTCACTGCAGAGCCACAACAGGGCTGTTCAAAGTGAATGCTGGTGATTTTTGTGAATGGAATGCTCTCTGCACAACAAGTCCCTTGTCCAACAGGTTCCTGCAGTTTCACACATCTGCCCAAAGGCGGTGAAAAGCTACAGCTCAATTTGGGACCTCAAACACTGGGGGGTCATTATTTGTAAGACAAATGATTTAATGAGAGTGTGGTCAAGGTGTATTACTGTGTTGTAGAAAATAAATATGAAAGATTGCACTCTTATTTTTCATTCAACCTTGATTTAGACAGGTAAATCCCATTGAGCCTCGAGGACGCATTTACAAGAGACCTGATTTCAACAAAGAATGACGACAACAATAGACAATCATAAAAGAGCCGTACAGATAAAAAAAAAAAAAAAAAAAATAAGATGGCAAAATAAAGCAAAAACAGCAAGATTATAAGGCAAATGTAGAAAACTAAAAACAGGAACATGTCTGCATTGGTCCCTGCCAGGAGTCCAACAGATTCTTAAAGCCACTTAGAGGTCAAGGTCGAGAGCTTCAGGTCTTTTTGTAAGATATTCCAGGAAACAGGAGCGGAGTAGGAGAAGGCCCTTTTGCCAAGTTCAGTCCTCACTGAGGGGACACTGCAGGTAATAAAGTCCTGAGAGCGCACGCTGTAGCTGCACTCATGTAGTGACATGTAGGAGGAGATGTATGAAGGCAGCAGACCAAGAAGTGATTTAAAGATGAAAATGTACCAGTGAGAGAGTCTGCGTGAAGTTAATGATGTCCAGTTAACCAGTGAATACAGGGTGCAGTGGTGGGTATGATAATCACAGCCAGTTATGAATCTTAGTGCACCATGATAGACGGCATCCAACATCTGCAGGGTTCTTGTAGGAGCGTTCATGTAAATAATGTCACCGTAATCAATGGAGGGAAGGAAAGTCACAGATGCAAGGCGTTTTCTAGCATTCAGAGTTAGACGGGATCTGTTTCTGAAAAAGAGACCCAGTTTAACTTTCAGCTTCTTTTACTAAGTTTTCCACATGGAGCTTAAAAGAGAGATGCGAGTCGACCAATATACCCAAATATTTATAGGAATCAACAAACTCTATAGGGACACCATTTGGAGACAAAATCGGAGTGAAAACTGCTTGGACCGACTTCCTGTTTGAAAAAAGCATCCCTTTGGTTTTATCGGCATTTAAGAAAAGTTTGAGGTGGAACAAATCTGACTGGAGGATGTCAAATGCGGATTACAAAAGCTGGAAAGCCTTAGCAACTGTTTTAGCTCTACAATAAACAACTGTGTCATCAGCGTAGAAATGTAAGGGTGCATTCACACCAGCCCTGTGTAGTCCGCTTTAATCGAACTCTAGCTCGTTTTCCTAGAAAGTCCGGTTCGTTTGGGGAGGTGTGAACGCGCCATCGAACTCTGTCACGGAACAAAAAGGCGAACTCTGGCCCGGGCTAAAACCTAGGTCTCGGTCCGGTAGAAGAGAACTCCAGCGCGGTTCAAGTACAATGTGAATTCAATCAGACCGGGCCCCGCTCCGCAAGCAAGAAGTGGAGTGCAGCGCAGGGCAAACAAACACGCATTTCTCTTACCACATATGGAGCCGTCAGCCGCCTTGTGTGAAAAACAATATTCTCCATGGTCTTCTGCCTCATCTTCTGCTCATGCTGAGTCCATTTTTGAAAAATGACAAAATATAACTCCTAAAACTGCCACTCCGTTTTTGTTTTATTTCCAGAAGAAGAAGAAGAAGTGTCTTCTTCAGAGGTTTTTGTGTAATTTCTTTCTGTAGTTCTTGGTGCAGCCCCACCACAGGCGAGTGGCGGAACAGGTTGGTTCAACAGGTTGACTCTACTGCACAGTGCAGTGTGAATGCAAACGCACCAGCTCAAATGTAAACAGAATGTTATGAATATTGGTCCCGAACCGAACCGAGTCTACCGGACTATCAGGTGTGAAAACACAAGGATGCATCAAGGATGCTCTGACCTACATTACCTATGTAGCTTGTAAAGAGGGTGGGTCCTAAGACTGAGCCTTGTGGTACGCCATTGTGTACATCATTATTATTAATACTGCATATATTGATTTTTATCTAGAAAAAAACCAACAACACAATCATCATCTTTTGTGCAAATACAGGATTAGGCACAGTTTTTATTAGAAAATGGCCCCAGGTGTTGTAGTGGAAAAGCTACGGTAATAATTGATTGCATGTTTCATCTCTGCAAAACAAATATGTGTGTACTTGTTTTTGATTGGCAAAACTGTAACAATAAGCTAATATTTGCAAAGCAGAAGCTTATAGTTTGCACAAAGTTTCACACAAATGTTACCTAATTTTTGGACTATAAGTTGCATTAAGCAAAACAAAACAGTCAGATAAGTCAAACTTTATTCAACTCATTCACAATAACGCTCAACATTGTTTAGTTGTACCATATAAAATCGGTTCGAGGTCAGTAAGCACAACCAGAATCAATACATAAGAGGAACTGTTGAATTTTGAGAAAAATTAAAGGATTTTAAGTGCTCCTTATAGTCTGAAAAATATGGGAGTTTTATTAGTCCTCTTGCAGAAAACCTATATCTTTTTACCACAAAATATTAATCAGGAAATGGTTTATTATCAGTGTGATTTGTGTTGTCTCACCACTTTACTTTTTCTATCATGTCTTGTTAGTCGGTCTTGTACCAAAAAAACTAATCAAATCTTCCTAGCAGGTTATAAAGACACAGCACTGCGAGTTAGTCCTGGTCTGTCTCGGTTGAGGTGGTCATGTGGGGTCATGAGCATGTGACTTGTTTCAGGTGGAGCCAGCCTGCAGAAACACACAGCAAGAAGTTTAGATGGTGATGAAGGATTTTCTTCTAACACTAAGGTAAAAGCCCTGTTTTTGGCAAAGTTTATGTTTTTGCCGTCCTTTTTAATGCTTGAAAACGATCCGAGATAAGTTTGTGGTGTTCTGTTGCTGCTTTGTCGATGATCACAGCTTTCAGTTTGTGTTGGATTCATGTTGAACTGCAGGTCATTCAGGCAGCTTGAATGTCCAACATTCCTAGTATATATATATATATATATATATATATATATATATACATTATTCTGCATAGAATTTGTCAGTTTGGTCTGATACCAAATGAAGATGCCAAAAAGGGGCTGAAAATGATGTTGGATTATGTTAAATGTCAAATTTATTTGTGATATTTAGTCTCTAACACAAATCTAAACTCAACCTATTCACAAGCAACAAGTGAAAAGTGCGTAAGTAGTAGTGCGCTAATAGATATACCGGTACTTGACAGTTTCTTAAATTAAAAATTAACTTAAAACAGAAGCTTTTTATATCGAGGAGTTATTTCAATGGAATGTCCGATATTTAACTTTATCGCAAATATCATCTGATACGGATACCGTGCTGTTAATATTGTGCATCCCTATTATTAATCTTGTACTCTATTTTGTGTACATTTTGTCAGATTCAGGTTTCATCGACAACTTTGCAGAGGTTTTTACATTTGAATTTAGGCTTTTCTAAAAACAAAGTAAATATACTTGTTGCGTAAAAATAAGTACCGTTATATTTTTGTTTGGTTAATTTTTTTTCTTTGATGTAACAGTGCTTGTTGGCAATAAATCCTATAGATGGAAGTGGCAGACTGTTGTGGCTGTATATGGTTCTTCCACATCGTAAATGGCTGTGTATGGTTCTTCCACATGCTACTGTATCCCTTATTTTTTAAATAACTCAATTATTAAATTGCTAAAACGCCTTGTTTCTTAAGACTTCCATAAACAATAAATATCAAAGCGTCAGCAGCAAATGAGCTGTTTGGCATACGCAGAGAAGATTTGACACGTTTTTTTAATGAGTGCATATCACAGATTTATCTGCTGCTCAATCCACAAATGCATTTTCTTAACAAATGTGGCACCATTTAAAGTGAAATAAACACTCCGTTTTAGATTTATTGCCAAGAAACATTGTTACAACAAAGAAATAATCAACCAAACATAAACTAACTTACTTTTTGTGCTTTTGTTTAGGAAAAAAAAAGTCAAAAACAATGTATAAAATGTTAACCCAGGGCAAAAAACGACTAACATTAACATAACGTGTAAAATAAAATTGATTAAAAAAAATTGCTTGTAAATGCAGAGTATCTTTTTTTCCCCCATAGGTAAATGGACCGAGCTTCATCAGCCGCACTTTATCAATCAACCATGTGAAGAGACCATCCAGGAAGGTAGCGATGTCTCCAGAACCCAACCCAGATTTAGCTCGCCGTCACTTCAACAGTACGTATCGCCGTGGGGTGTACACAGTCCCTGGACCTGGTCATTCACATGCACTGGCGACTTTGATGAACTCCACGGGAGACTCCGATTTATTTCATCGCTATGCTCTCTTAGAGACCCCTCATGGCAGCTGGCTGCCTTCATCCATGTCCACACCTGGGACTTTCAGCCCCTCGTCTCTGAGACAGACGGCTAGATCGCGGTCTGCAGGGTTTCAGCAACACGCTCAGAATGACTTTCTGACGAGTCGCAGACAAAACGCTGTTACGCTCAGTGATCAGATGTTTGGATCTGCCCAGCCTGATGAGGACTTGATCTGCCCAGCTCAGGTCAGCGGGGACCAGAGGTCCATGAGACTGGACTCGTTCTCACCGTCTGGTGGCAGAGCAGAGATGGACACGGGGAGACCCGTGGCGAAACAACTCGGCGCACAACAGAAACAGAATCTCACACCGTAAGATTGAATTTTTTCAGAATATTCCTGCATCGTCTGATTTGTGTCGTGAAAAACGTGAATAGTTTGTGATCCGTCACGCAGGGAATCGAAGAATAAACCTCCAGCGATGACGCTGGAGCGGGCTGTGAGCCTTTTGACCACAAACGATGAGGAAACTCTGATCGATGCCGTCAACAGTATACAAAGTCTGTGTTTCCAGGGAGAAGACGCTAAAAAGACGGTAAATAAAAAAAAAAAAAAAGATTGTCTGTTTTAAATCTGTAAAACAGAACTCAAAATTTGTTTTTGTGTGTACGTTCACACTTAGTTTCTTTTTATTTATTTATTTATTTATTGCATTTAAAGAATTCTTTATACCATGTGCAGTTTTTCATATATCAAAACGTTCAGCTCATTTCGGAGGCATTTGGTATATTTTTTTATTTTATACTTTTAAAAATAATGAAGTACCGGTATATTAACAAATCTTTTTCTTCACAGAAAGACACTGAAATGTCTCCACTTCCTTTAAAAGCATTGATCTCTTTGAAATATTTTTTCAACATTAATTATATATTTTTGTATTCTTATGCTGCTTTTAGTTTTTAGCCAGCCTTTTGATACTTTTAACTTTAGCTACTTTGCTAATTTTAGCGTTTGCCTTTTGTTTACCCTTCTGCCTCTTTTAACTGTAGCTATCCTTTTGCTATTTTTAGCTTCTAGCTCACCTTTTGATACTTTTAACTTTAGCTACACCTTTGCTCATTTTAGCTTTCAACTTTTGTTTACCATTCTGGCACTTTTAATTGTAGCTATCCTTTTGCTATTTTTAGCTTCTAGCTAGCCTTTTGATA